CAAATTGCAATCAATAAAATTACTGAATTATGTAAAAATATTACATAAATACGCACGTAGAATTTAAATATATATGCATATTTATATATTTGAAGTCTACGTGTATATTTATATAATTATTTATGTAATTTTGTATATGGACATATGTATATTTCTTATTATTTTTATTTATTTTTATATACATAGATATATATACAAATTCATTCTAAGTGTATTTTGATATAAATATATATATATTAATTTTAAAATACAGTTAGAATAAAATTTCATATAGCTATATAATTTTTTTTAAATTTTTTATTATTATTTAAAAAAATTTTTATTTAATTTAAATTACTTATTATTTATATTTTATAATAATATATATATACAATATATATAGTTATTATATATATTATATATATACGTGTGTAATTTAATTATAAGTGTATTTTTATATTAATATAAGTACATATTAATATAAAAATACACTTAGTATGGCATTATATATATGATATATAGACATATATTATATAGGTATAATATATGTCTATATATCATATATACACATATATAATTATTTTATTTTTTTTAATTAACACTAACTTTAATTTTTTTTTGATTTTACACTAGCAGGGAGACTGCCTGTCAGCACAGACAGTCCCCCTGCAGGCAGACACATGGACACCTATTGTGACCATGTGATCGCTGTGTTAAGCGATCACATGGCCACAGGGGTCCTAATCTGCCGTGGGGAGACTGTCTGGGCTTCAGGCAGTCTCCTCACAACCGGAGGAACACTGATCGCCGCCGGGGGAACGACGGCGATCAGGTAAGTACCCCCAGACCGTTAGGACGGTTCAGGACAGTCATCGGTCGGCAAGGCAAAAATGCCGATGACGGTCCTGAACCGTCCTCGGTCCTTAAGGGGTTAAGGACGGAGCAAAATGTACACGTTGTGAACGAAACAAAATGTAAACAAAACCTGGCATTTGCGCTACATGTCTGTCCAACCGTAATTCACCTCTTTCATATTAAAAGCACCCACCCTTATTAAATATCATTTTATTCAGGGGAAACAGGGCTTTCATTTAATATCAAATATTTAGCTATGAAACATAATTTAATATGAAAAAAAAGGGAGAAAATAAGATTGTTTGATTTATTTAGTTCTACATGACATTTTAACTGTCAATGTCATAATACTGTTTGCTTTTACTGCAATAAAATACACATATTTGTATTCAGCAAAGTCTCACATGTAAAACAGTACCCCCTATGTACAGGTTTTATGGCGTTTTGGGAAGTTACAGGGTCAAATATAGCACGTTACATTTGAAATTGAAATTCGCCAGATTGGTTACGTTGCCTTTGGGACTTTATAGTAGCCCAGGAATTAAATTTACACCCATAATGGCATACCATTTGCAATAGTAGACAACCCAAGGTATTGCAAATGGGTTATGTCCAGTCTTTTTTTAGTAGCCATTTGATCACAAACACTGGCCAAAGTTAGCGTTAGTATTTGTTTGTGTGAAAAATGCAAAAAAAACACGGATCATGTATAGTATGCAAAACCACGGATTCCACTATACCATCCAAAATAACTCAATTTACCACAAACGTAACAAAAAAGACCTACAAAATTAAAGAGTTTATTAACTGTAGTACTAAAAATGTTATTTATCTGCTTGAATGCCCATGTGGCTTCCAGTATGTTGGAATGACCACATGGAGCTTAAAAATAAGATTAAGCGAACATTGCAGAAACATCAAAAATGGATACTTAACTCATTCAGTATCCAAACATTTTATTAACCACAATAAAGATCCTAAATTGTTAAAATGTACAGGTATCAAAAAATTTACCCTACTTTGGAGGGGAGGGGATATAAAAAATGTTTTAGGGAAAACTGAAATGGAATGGGTCTATAAGTTACAGACTCTAATGCCCCAAGGGTTAAATGCAGAATTTGATCTATTTAATTTTTGATATTTTTTTACCTTCATTATAATTTATTTATTACTCTCACATATATGTTTTTAGGACACTCATATTTGCAACATATGTATGTTAATATATGATTTGTATTTACATCTGTGCTCTATTTTATTCAGTATGTATACAATGTACTTTTCACTTTTATCCCATATGTACTTATTTATTTACATTTTTATATGGTTATGTGTTATCATCCCCTGCATATTCATAAGTATGCTTATTTACTCACTTACTCTCACTTACTCTTACTTTTCTGTACTTAAGTATGCTAATTTATTGCTTATGTTTATTTTTTTTATTTTCATCCTGATTTTCCTCCCCTACTATGGCGGCCGCTAATTCCCCTACCTTAGCCGACCGCCTATTCTATGTTTAGCCCACTCCCCTTTCATCTATAAAGTTGACTGCAGCTTCGTGCACGCTGACACTACATTGCCCTAGCTACATCCGGCTTGACACTTGCACGTGTCTTCATCTATGACCACCGGCTTCCACACTACAGGTCCCATAAGCCTGTGTGACACATAATCACGATAATCACGTGATCAAATTACATTGCGTATATCAGTGTACACGGACCTCATTTTTACTATCTATATACATCACAAAGTTCCCATCCCAATAGACTTTCCATATGCATTTAAATCTATATGTTTTCATTTGTTAAAAGACGATTTTTTTAATTTTATGCTTTCTGATTGGCTGACCATAGTTTTGGCACCAATTTTAATTGTATGTGCTGTGATCCTTGTCGGCAGGTGGCACGGTCCTCTAGGGCAAAAACATGCACAGTCCTTGTAAATGCATATACTCAGGCACTTTATTTGTAAATCCACACAGGATACAGCGGTAAATTAAAACATAAATGAAACACAAAACCCTATAAACAAAAACCTAGCTCGGTCTGAGCACTAACTAACTTTGAATGTCCCTCTCTATCAGGGTTAAACTAACAAAACATATGGCACCAACCTTATTAGTTAGCAACACTCTGCTGACTAGCCTGTTGCGTTCCTTTCCTGCACTCCCAGTGCTCCAAGCCAGCCTTGACTCTATCTGGAGAGAACAGCCTCTCTCTCCTACCTGCTTCCTTTCTGCACTCCCAGTGCTCCAAGCCAGCCTTGCCCTGACTGCTTTCCTTTCTGCACTCCAAGTGCCTAGTCTCCTTGACTATCTGGAGAGAACAGCCTCTCTCTCCTACCTGCTTCCTGGGAGGAAGCCAGCAATCCCTCTCCATTACCTGCCTAGCAGGGAGGAGTTTATTCCCACTGCAACAGCTCATTAACTGCAGCTGAGCAGTGGGTTGGAGACGTCCAAAAAACCCTGGCCTGGATCTATGTCTCCCCAGAAAACCACTAAACTGTGGAGTGGAGCATTGGCCCACCCTTCTCTCCAAATGCTCCACCCCAGGGGCCCATAACTAAACAGTGTTTTGTGTTGCCTACAACACATCCTACACATACTTCCCCTGGGGTTAAAAGGCCTATCTGCCTTCACTTTATCACAGTGCTCTTATTTAAACCCGCGTTGCCAGTTATTATGTTTCACTCCATTTCTGAAGAAGCCCTGTGTGGCGAAACACATTAAATGGTTTTTACTTGTGTATTTTAGCAACAAAAGTTTTTTGTTGTACCAATTCTCTTTTTATTGTATTTTATACGCACATTTTTAACTTTATTGCTGGCATTTTTTGACTAATCCTGTACCCAAAGAAATCCTAGGTTGGGTTCATTCCACCAACGCTACTAAAATAGAGCAGTACCTTCTGCTCTATACTTGTGAGTATATTTTATATATTATTTTATATACCACATTCCTTTCCTATTGAGAGCACTATTGTTGTCTTTTATATACCCTGGAACCCTGGATACCCAAACCGGATTGACGGACACACCTCTCCATTATATCCCATAGCGGGGATTGTTCTGCTAGACACCCTTCACTCCAGAGCTGGTTTAAGCTCTTTTAAATGTGAGTTTATTACCTTCATTTTATCTATTTTATCATTGGATCTCTGACGTATTACACCATCGGTTGTTTGTCGTATCTCCCACTTGTCTCTCCACATATACGGATATTTTATCATCCGGACGGATCAGCTCCTGAGGATTGCACCCCTACCCTATCCTGTTATATTATTGAGACTTTTAAATGTATTTTACCATCCAGACGGATCTACCCCTGAGGATTGCTCAAGTACTAGTGAGATTTTATTTGCACTATTTTTTATTCATTGACATAGCCTCCTTTTTATTATTGTAGTAGTTAGATCATTTGGTCTATTTACTGTTACAAGACTCTTTCCGGCGCAACCCTCACCTTCTTTCTGTTAATAACAATAACTACCTGCAAATGACAGGGACAGCGATGGGCACAAAAATGTCACCACAATACGCTAATCTTTTAATGGCTGACCTAGAAATTAGATTTTTTATGTACACAGCCCTAAAAACCATATACATATTATCGTTACATTGATGATATTTTCATAATATGGACAAAAGGAGAAGAAAGCCTTATAGACTTCAATAAATCATTAAATTCATTCAAGCCATCAATACACCTTAAAATGAACTTTTCAAATCACAGTGTGAGTTTTTTGGACTGTACAATAACTGCCACCAGAGGGACGGGGCCTGACACTCAAGGAGACCAGACGTGTTTCAGCATAGCTCCAGCTCTCTTAACACTAAACTAGATCTGAAATTGCTTTTGTGGGATGCAGAAACTCCTCTGACACAGCTGCAGACTGACACTATACTAGCCTGAACCGACTATATATGTGAAGTGTTCTGGTCCGATGGGCTTTCACCAGGGTTTCGTCTCACGGCCTAGTGCACCAGATGACAGGGAGAGGCAGTCAATCTCCTAGTGTGAAGAGCACTGCTCATTACAGCCTCTCTGCAGCTCCGTTACCCCACCTCCCCCGGACCGGTAGGGGTTAGACAAGCGACTAATCCTCAAAGGCAAAGAAAATAGTAACCTGCCTGACAAGCCAGGGCCTCGTGGTATACCCAAAATGGCCACCACACCGACCAAACACCCAGTGTCCCATTGGGAAGAAAAGTTTAATGCAGCTTTGATTGCCATATGTGCAGCCTTTTGGTCCCGAATCGAGTCTCGCCAGCAGCAACTACAACTCACCTCGACCGCAACAGGGGATGTCCCCAACGGTGATCCAGTGCTCATGATGGAGGTATTGTCCATCAGTTGTCCACAGCCTTATGGGGCGGCCTGCAGAGCGGGAACCCTGCAGAACAGCAGTCCTACCAATGCACTGGCTCAAACACCGACCTGGACACGGAGAGGGGAGAAAATGATGTCCCGCAACATTCATCCCCATAAGCTGGGAGATCGAGACCCCCATGTGGATGGTGAGAAGTGCCAGGATTTTCCTCTGCCTCACTCTGTCCCATGGGAGCATGCATGGAAGCGATACCTACCTTCAGCACCTGGCAACCAGCACTCCCAGCGCTGCTTACCCAAGCGATCAAAACCCATGCTACCACGATCGAAGCTCAAGGGGAAAATCTCCCGTCCTCATCACACTCCCCTGTACATCAGGGTGATGGCAAATCATTCTGGCACTCCTGGACCAAAGACCGAGGGAGATCAAACCTCGGCGTGTATTCTACTCACCCTGAGGAAACAACCTCGACATCACGCTACACCACATGGCACAGTGAGCAGCCCGAAAAGCGGGAATGACATGGGGAAACTTGCACCGGTTTGGGACCAGAGGAGTGGACTACTCGTCTGGATCACTGGGACTTTCCTTAACTGTGGAGGTCGGAGGCTTAATCTGGGTGTAGGCTGAATTATTGGCACTAGGCTTCATTTATGTGCAGTTACTCTAGGCGTAAGCTTGCCATCGTTATAAAACATGTTATGTTATGCTAGCACAAGCTAGGTGCCATAGATAATTTGGGTTACTAGTACACCCCTTCAAGCTTAACCTGTCTAGAACACTGACATAAGATTATCACTAACCAGGTATGACTATCATCACATGGTGTTTCATTAAACTTGTCTTTAGCCCTTGAGCATAATCTTATCTATAACCACACTTGTCTCTAAAGGCGAAAATGAATAAGACATACCAGTTTCATGCCATCTTTTGTTTACTTCCTTTACTCTCTTTAGCATATAAACACATCATGAGGGGAGCTTATAACTTGACACATAGCATTACTGCCGTCACTTTTCCCTTTCATTGTTCTCACACTATTATGCCACTCGGCCTGCATAACCTTACTTAGGGGTGGGTTTATATGTTTATATATATTTTTATTTACATTTTTCACACAAAAAGTGCAGTTTATACTGGCAGGTTTCCGTTTCACCTGAATGTCTATTGTTCCTGGTAAGGTTTTACCCGAGCACCTTCTAACAATACAAGTATGACTAGCCTATTTACCATTATATTTACAAAATTGTGCCACTTTCTCGTGCCATGTATATGTATTACACTGATATTATTGCTTGCTTGCTCATGCTGTCGTGGCATCGTAAGCTATTTTGTTATCTTGTGCACATAAAAAAAAAAAAAAAAATATATATATATATATATATATATATTAATAACTGCAACAAATGGCATTCTTCATTTGTCTGTTTATAGAAAACCCACAGACTGGTACAGCTAACTCCACAATTCCAGCTTCCATTCACACCTTACCAAACAAGATATAATCTACAGCCAGGCTACCAGATACCAGCGCATTTGCTCTGATACAAAAGACAGAGATCAGCAAAGATCAGCACCTAAGTACACTGTCAGAGTCATTTAGGCAAAAGGGTTACAAGGAAAGGACAATATCTAAAAAAATAAATCTGCCCTAAAAATACCATGGGGAAGGCTCACACAATATAAAGAAAAGGAAAACAAAACAAGAATCCCTCTAGTAGTTACATACAATCCAACTCCAGAAGGAGTACATCAAATTATTATTAAAGAACTACAACCATCCATTTCAGAGGACCCCACACTCAAATAAATATTTCCTGAACACAATAACAAATTGTACAACTTTAAGGGATCATATTCCTGTACATCTGCAAATGTGGTATATATGATACAGTGTACAGTGTGTGACAAAGGTTGCTACACTGGAGAAACTGACCTTAAGCTGCATCTCAGAATGAATCTACACAGACACTCCATTAAGAAGCACAAGGAAAATGGATATGGTACCCCTGTTGGTCATCACTTCACCCAGACTGGTCACTCCAAGTTCCAAGGGAATTTCAAAGACTCTCATGAACAAAAAGACATTTGAGATGAAAATTACCACACATTTCAACACCACAAATTAAGGACTTAATGTAGATTATGGCTCTCTCACACACTACCAAATCATTCTATAAACACACATCTTAATGTCTTATATAGTTATTTTTCAATATTCTCGTTTCACCTTTATCAATTTATATACATACATATATGCAGCTATTTATTAGCATGCCTTGCTCAGCTGTTTTCTTGTTTTGGTTTTCTTTTTTGTGTTTTTTTTTTTTTTTCAACTAGCTTATTCTCTCCTCTGTTTATTTACTTTGTCTGGCTATTCTCAGCCATCCTTCACCTTTCAATTTCAGGCACATCTTGTACTATTCATGACACCCCACTCACCCCTCTCCCTCCCCTTTTCTAACATCAGTTGTTTTAAGATTGATCAGTATTGATTCAGACCTGAAGAAGAGAGGAAAACTCTTGAAAGCTTGTTTTTGAAATATTATGTTAGTTCAATAAAAAAGTATCATTGCATAGATATTATTATTATTATTATTATTGCCATTTATATAGCGCCAACAGATTCCGTAGTGCTTTACAATATATATATATATATATATATACACATACATACATATACATATATTAAATGTGTATATTTATCTACTATATTTACATAATTAAATAATTATATTAATTATAATTCACCCTGTAACTTTCCATACCACCATTAAACCTGTACATGTGGGGTAGTGTACTCGTGAGACTTTGCTGAACACAAATATGTGTGTTTTAATGCAAAAAAACAATTTGAACGCTAATTTTGGCCAGGGTTTGTGACTAAGTAGCTACTAAAAAAAACTGGATATTCCCCTTTTTGAATACCCTGGGTTGTCTACTTTGTAACATGGCATGCCATGATCAGGGTAAATCTCATTCCTGGGCTGCCATACAGTCTCAAACGCAGTATAACCAATCTTGGAAATTTGAATGTGCACGAAATTAAATAGGCAAGGCCTATATTTGACCCTGTAACTTTCTAAAACTCCATAACAACTGTACATGCAGGGTACTGTTTTACTCATGAGACATCACTGAACACAAATGTAAGTGTTTAGAGCAGTAAAATGTATAGTGACGATTATATAATCAATGAAAGTGCAGTCTTTGTGTGAAAAATGCAGAAAACTAATATAAATGCAAATTTTGCCCAGGGTTCGTGACCAAGTAGCCACTACAAAAGACTGGGCAAACCCCATTATGGATACCCTGGGTTGTCTACTTTTACAAATGGTATGCCATGCTGCGGTTAATTTTCATTCCTGGACTGCCATACAGTCCCATACAGTCCCAAAGGAACCAACCTGGCAAATTATAATGTGTAAAAATGTAAAAGGGGAAAGGCCTATATTTGACCCTGTAACTCTCCAAAACACCATAACACCTGTACATAGTGGGTACTTTTGTACTTGTGGACATTGTTGAATACAATTTATTCCAATTTATTGTAATTTATTGCAGTAAAAACTAACTGTAATATGAAATTAACAGTTAAAATGCCATTCAGAGAAACTGCTATGTTTACATATGGGTTAATCCAGCCTCTAGTGGCTCTCTCATTGATAGCCGCTAGAGGCGCTTCTGCGCTTCTCACTGTGATTTTCACAGTGAGAAGACGCCAGCGTCCATAGGAAAGCATTGAGAATGCTTTCCTATGGGCTGACTGAATGCACGGGCGGCTCTTGCCGCCCATGCGCATTCGGCTGATGACATCGGAAGTAGAAGGAGAGTCCCCAGCGCCGAGGGAGCCCGGCGCTGGAGAAAGGTAAGCATTTAACCCCTTCCTCGCACTTCAGCCTGGCAGGAGGGGAGCCATGAGGGTGGGGGAATCTATTAACACTATAGGAAAAGGAAAATTAGTTTGTTTTTCTGGCACTATAGTGGTCCTTTAACTGAAATAATAGCACAGGCTATTAAATAAAATGAATGACCTAGTGTCCCCTGAGCCTCCACCCATTGACGGTGGATCCCTAATTAATAAGGAGGGTGTCCTAATATCCCATTCATAATTATCCCACCCTGGACCTGGTCCATTAATGTTATCTGACTTTTCAGTCTTGTGTTTAGCAACATTTAGTGAATAAGCCCCTAGACTTACAATCTAAGTTATGTTCAATGTATAAAGAGTGTTGGTTGTTTACAAGTTTGGAGGTTTACCTTATTTCCCCAATCTCCAAAATATTTTTTTTCGGATACAAAGACAAAAAACAGGTAACCTCAGGAGAAATACAGGTTGCTCTGGAAAAAGATGGTGTAGTTGTTTCAAGGAGCACAATATGACAATACTTGAACAAAAACAAGCTGCATGATTGAGTTTCCAGAAAGAAGCATTTACTGTGCCAATGCCACAAAAAAGCCCAGTTACAATATGTCCAACAACATCTTGACAAACCTCACAGTTTCTGGAACACTGTAATTTGGAGTGACAAGACCAAAATAGAGCTTTATGGTCACAACCATAAGCGCTTAGTTTGGAGAGGGGTCAACAAAACCTACAGTGAAAAACATACTATCCCCACTATGAAGCATGGTGGTGGCTTTTTGCGGGTGTAAGCTCTAAAGGCACCGGGAATCTTGTGAAAACTGATGACAAGATGAATACAGCATGTTATCAGAAAATACCGGCAGACTATTTGCAGGCTGTGCATGGGACACTCTTGTGCATGTGACCCCCCAGTGGTTGCAGAAGAAAAAGGTGAAGGTTCTGGAGTGGCCTATATCATCAAGCTAGTCTGGGGATATCTCAAAGGTGCAGTTCATGCAAGACGACCAAAGACTTTGCATGACCTGAAGGCATTTTGCCAAGATGAATGAGCAGCTATACCACCTGCAAGAATTAGGGGCTTGATATACAACTATTATAAAATACTGCATGCTGTCATTGATGCTAAAGGGGGCAATGCACAGTATTAAGAATTAAGGGTATGCATACTTTTGAACAGGGGTCATTTAATGTTTTTCTGTATTGCCTTATTTTGTTTTATGATATGTCATTCTGTTAAAACCTACAGCTGAATATGAATCCCATAAGAAATAAAAGAAATGTGTTTTGCACGCTCACTCATGTTTTCTCAATGCACGACTGTACCTACACTTATTTACAATTAAAGAGTGGCAATTCCAGATCTCATAAAACAAGGAACAATATATAAAGATAATAGTGCAATATTTAAAATCCATATTAGAGTATTTTTAAGGTGTATAGGTGTTCAGCTCACTTTTCTGAGCTGATAAGAGCTCTGCTGTATAGCGCTTGGAAGGTACATTCCCTGGTGCACAATAAATGAATTTATACTGTATTACATTATTGTATTGTTTTATTTTTTCTGTAGATTATCAGCTGCATCCTCTGCATTCTGTTTGGCAATGGAATTTTATAACATGACAGGAGGCTTCGCTTAAGTCTCTCTTTACTAGAACTCCACAGCAGCACAGAAAAACAACCAATCAGAAAAAAGTTAGGTACTATAAAACTCCCCTCCCCATGCATCATTTCCTCTTTCTTTGCTGCTCTGCAGTCAGTACAG